TGATGTCATATTGATCTTTAACATTGCTTCAAGTATTTTTTTATGTCTTTAGTTTTTTTAAATTGTCAAGTTTCTTTGAAAATATATACTTTATGGTATGTATCTACTAGCTGAGGTTTTTGGACATCTAATCCCATTCCGTGTTGTATTTATCAACTTTTGTTCATAGTGGATTACTTCTTAATTTGCAAGTTTTTGTTTTAAATTCAGATTCAGTGGGGCTTTATCTTTGGGATTTTTATGCCATCTGGAATAAGGAGTGTTTATTAGAGATATTTTGAACTAGCATCTAACTGCGCTAGGAATAGTTTCATGAGAAGACCGTTTTTATGGTAGGCTTAAGGTTTGGAGGCTCCCATACCATGTAAATCATATAAATTTGAGCCCTAAACATAAATTAGTTGAGGCCTATTTCATACATGAATTTTTTTGGCATTTTAATTATGAGATTTTATTTTATTTTTATGTATCTTTATTGTTGAATGTATTAGATATCCCCTCTTTTTCTCCCCATTGATCCCCTCCTCCCAGTCCTGCCCCCCTCCTGCCTTCCCCATACTATCCTCTGTGATTTTACCACATAGAGATCAGTGAAGGCAAATAAACTGCCTTTTCTTTTCTCTTTGTCAGTAGAATGCTCTTTTCTGGTCCATTCTTTTAGTAAGAGTTCAATCCTTCAAGTGTTTAGTTTTGTGGAGTAGCAATAGTCAGGGGGAAAGGACAAGAATTTTAGTTCTAACTTTCGGCCTTGAGTTTGTCAAAATCCTCTTTTACCCTTGGCAGTTCTATGAAGCTACAAGAGGGTCACAGCTAAAGAATGCACTTAAGCTATTTTAAGAACCTGAAAAAGCATTATAAATTATTACTCATAGTAAAAATCTATGTCACTAGTAATCAGAGAAATGCAAATTAAAAACACAATGAAAGTCTGGCCGGTGTGGCTCAGTGGTTGAGCATCGACCCGTGCACCAAGAGGTCACCAGTTCGATTCCTGGTCAGGACACATGCCCAGGTTGTGGGCCCAATCCCCAGTGGGAGGCATGCATGAGGCGGCCAACTGATGTTCTCTCTCATCGATGTTTCTATCTCTCCCTCTCACTTGGTCTCTCCCTAAAATCAATAAAGGAAAAAAAATTTTTAAAACACAATGAGATATCACCTCACACTTGTCACAATGGCTATCATCAATGAATCAACAAACAACAAGTGTCAGCAAGGATGTGGAGACTGCAGATTGGTGCAGCCACTGTGGAAAACAGTATGGAACTACCTCTAAAAATGGAACTGCCTTATGACCCAGCAAGTCCACTTCTGGGAATATATCCGAAGAAACCTGAAACACTAATTCTAAAGAATATATGCACCCCTGTGTTTATAGCAGTGTTATTTATAATAGCCAAGATTTGGAAGCAGCCCAAGTACCCATCAGTAGATGAATGGATCAAAAATCTGTGGTACATTTACACAATGGAATACAACTTGGCCATAAAAAGAAGAAGGAAATCTTACCATTTTTGACAGCATGGATGGACCTGGAGAGTATTATGCTAAGTGAAATAAGTCATTTAGATAAAAACAAATACCATATGATTTCACTTATATTTCACAAACAAAATAGAAACAGACTCACTCAGAGATACAGAGAACAGACTGACACCTGGTGCTGGGTGAAAAGGGTGAAGGGATTAAGCAAAAAACAAAAACAAAAAAAAACACTGCATAGACAGTATGGTGATTACCAGAGGGAACAGTGGGTGAGGGAAGGTAGAAAAGGGTAAAGGGGGGATAAATGATGATGAAAAGAGACTGATTTTGGGTGGTGAACACACAATACAATATACAGGTGATGTATTATAGACTTGTACATCTGAAACCTATATAATTTTATTAACCAATGTCACCTCAATAAATTCAATAAGAAATAAAGTACTTCTGTTAGATCAAAAATATATATGGATTCCCTTGGTAGTAGGGCCTTTCCTTAGTATCTGGTTGCTAGAAACAAGATGTCTACTACCTTATCCTTACTCATCCTGTCCACCTCTGCTTTCTACACATAACTAAGATACTTTATATTCTCCCAAAGACCAGGTTTTATTTTTTCCAGCCCTTACCCCCTTTAATAATGTATACCAAATATCAACTGAGTTATCCTTTCAATACAAAGATTTATTCTGCTCCTATTAAAAAAAAAAAAATTGGCACCCTACCACTGTGATCTTCAATAAATTTGAGAATTCTTATCCCAATCTATCATCTTCTTATTCCTGATGGGAAAGATACATTAAACTATAAAATGAAATAAATCTCATTATATTACCATGATATTTTTAAAATGTCATATATTATGAGAAAAAAATTAGCACTTTAAAGGATTCACATATAGTTTTAAAATATATTTTTAAATTTAAAACAACTGTCTTTAAAACCTATCCCATAAATTGACAGAGATTTTGGAATATATATTAAACAGATATTTCTTCAACCAAACTAGCAAGTGATATTATTCGACACCAGCAATATTCAACCTTTTTAACTTCACAGCACACATAAAGTAATTACTAAAATTCTATGGCATGCCAAAAAAATATTTTTTGTTGTTCTGACAGAAAATGGTATTTCTATTGATTTATAAAAATAGTAATAATAATAGTAATTTTCTACCTTTTTTGCTCCAAAGCAACTTTTTAAAAAATCAGGTGTCTATACTTGTATACAAGGATTTCTGGAACCAAGAATTAACTAATCAGATGCAACCTTATGCGATGTGACCAATAAGATGCAACTCTATTATATTACCTATATTTATGGTTAAAGGCAAGGCATTCACACCAAATAACTATTGTTGTGTTGGCTATTATTTTTTTATTTGACAATTTAAGGAAAAAGAGGTCAGTGCCCGGAATAAAATAGTTAGGTATTGCACATTTTAAAAATTCTTATGGTATATCGGTTGAAAATCTGTGGTCTATACTACGCATCTATCAATAGAAAGGACTGACTATTAATAAGATATATGATAGAATAGAGTTCATCTTTCAGATGTATTTGTGTGTGTGTGTGTGTGTGTGTGTGTGTGTGTGTATAGATAGATAGCTAAATCGATATGTATTTCTTTTATATTTCAGGAGTTTTACTTTTTATGATATGGTGTGTAATCTGGTCAGTCTCAGGCCATGAAAATCAACCTGATGGAAATTTAGTTGGACTATTCATTGTCTTTTATAGTGCCCTAATTGGGGGGAAACTTTTGGAAATCATTAGAATACCTTCAGTGCCTCAACTTCCACCTCTTCTTGGTAAGGGTATAATTAGCTCTCATTTCTTTTTATTAACTATATGTAAATTATTAGCATATTCCAGTCAGAGTAAATATAATTTAGAAGTGTTTTAATGTAATATAATTTATATAGCTTCTTTATATGTTTATGCACTATATGTATAGCTCATTTATAGAAGTACTTATTCTCTATATATACAGATTCTTTTCTGAAATACATTTTTAAAGTAACTTATATGTACTCAACATGTGATTCTTGTTGCTTTATCATTTAATAGGACATTTTTTACTTAACTTTAAATGTATTATAGAAAAGGAAATATTTGGAAAAGACTGAATTTTTCTGTAGATAACCTAACTCAAATATAATTACAAGATCCAAATATTATAGTGTCTATAGTATCAAAAAGTCTTACGGTTTTTGAGTAAGCAGTTTGGGCATCTCCACTATGTGTATTCATAGATATATCATCTGCCTGACCATTTTTATACCCTATTTCTTCATTACCTTATTACATAACTCTCCAGGTGGACAGAGGAAAATTAACGTAACTTCTGTCAGAGGTATCTCATATATTCTAAGTATTCAGTACATAAAAATATTCAGTAGAATGTCCATAGAAATAATCTCTCCATTTTATCTCTAACACCTTTCTATGTCCATTATACTCTTTCAGCACCTCCTAAGTATTCCTTGAATCTTTTTTTTTAAATAATATTTTTTACCTTTATTGATTTTAGAGAGAGAGGAAGTGAGAGGGAGAGAGAATTAAAAATATCGATGAGAGAGAACATCGATAGGCCGCCTCCTGCATGCCCCCCACTGGGGACCTGGCCCACAACCTGGGCATGTGTCCTGACTGGGAATCGAACCAGCGATCTCTTGGTGCATGGGTCGATGCTCAACCACTGAGCCACACCGGCCAGACTCCTCGAATCTTTTTTCCTCCTCTTCAAAACTTTTACTCTTGCACCCTGGTCAGTTTGACTCAGTGGTAAAGCATTGGCCTGCTGACCAATAAATTGTGTTTGATTGTGGCCAAGGGCACATACCTCAGTTGCGGTTCTTCCGCGGTTCTTCCCCGGTCCTGGTCAGGGTCAAGCAGGAGGCCACCAGTCGATGTGTCTCTTTCACATTGATGTTTCTCTCTCTCACTCCATCTCTCCCTCCCTCCTACTTTACCTGAAGATAAATGGAAAAATATCCTCAGGTGAGGATTTAAAAAACAAAATAAAAACCTTTTATTCTTGCCCTAGCAAAAGCTATTTGTTTCCAACTCTACCATGGACGATTGGCAAAGGTTTTTCATTGGTTTCTTCTCCAATTTTATGTTTATCTAATTCACCAAGACCATCACAGAGAAAATGAAGACTCATTATGTTACTTTCTGCCTAAAACTTTCCCATGGTGCCTTACTCTGCCAAAGAAGGTGGGAGTGTGGAGTGGGAATAACTGTTTGCAGTCTGTGGCATCTGCCCATTCTCCCACTCCCTTCCTTCCCCTTTTTGTCCCAGCAACACTGGATTACTAGTTGTACACCACTGAGATATATCATTTCTTACCTCCATTTCTTTATGCTCTCCTCTACCTATGTGTAAGTTGCCCTTCACAAAGTAATGAAAGACATAGTATGTTTGAAAAGGGGAAGTTAAACATTTCTGTTTTCTCTCTTGGAAAAATGAACTGAATCAGACATGATTTATTTTCTTTTATGAAGGGATGTTACTGGCTGGTTTTACTATCAGGAATGTTCCATTTTTCAGTACGCACGTCCATATTAATAGCACATGGTCTTCAACTTTAAGAAACATTGCCCTTACCCTTATCCTAATAAAAGCTGGACTTGGACTCGATCCACAGGTAGATTTCCAATTATACCGTGAGTAAAGTTACTTTAAATATTAGAGGATGGTAGAAAAGAAAAAGAGTAAGAATTTTGTTATAGCTCTTTCAAGTGGAGTCTGTAAGCAAAACTAAGATAAAGAACAAAAATTTGCAGAAATATTGGCACCTTAATTTCTACTTCTTCTCATTATTATTACTAATATGAAGAGAAATCACTGTGATGTAAGATCTCCATTAGAGAGCACCTTTAATTATTTGAATAGAGATAAATGGCCCTTATGCAGCATTTATATTCTTTGGGACTTGTGACTCTTCTATGGAGAATTATTTGCTTTTCAGTTAACAAAGGATAAGGTCACCCCATACAAGCTTTTTTCTTTTGTTTTGTTTTATTTTTTCAGAGAGATTAATAATTTTAATAATATTTCTGTTTTATAACTTTTTCCCCACAAAATCATGTTCTTGATTATCTTTGCATTATTGTAAAAGCTAATCTTTTATAATATTCCCTAATATATTACTATCTAGGGATCATAAATCTATTTGGGTTTTTAAAAGATTCACATAACAGCCCTGGCCGGTTTGGCTCAGCAATTGGAGTGTAAGCCTGCAGACCAATGAGCCATAGTTTTGATTCTGGTCAAGGGTTCAGTCCCCAGCCCTGGTGGGAGTAGTTTGAGAGGCAAACAATCAATCTTACATCGATGTCTCTCTCTCTCTCTCACTTCCTCCCTCCCTCCACTCATTCTGAAGATAAATAGAAAAATATCCTCGGGTGAGAATTAAAAAATAAATAAAAATAACATTTATTTTTAAAATAAAATAAAAATAAGATTCAGATAACAGCTTCTCAAATAAATATGGCAAATTTATAAGTTTGGTGGTAATATCTCAGGAGCATAAATAATTATAGGTAGTGGTAATTTATTATATGATCCAGTAGAAAATTTGAAGCAATGAGAAAATTTTAGTTTTCCCGTTTAGTTAATTATGCAGTTTTTAAGTGATTTTCTTTTTTCTCATGTTGATATTTTCTATTTATAATTAAGTTAATCAAACAGTTCATCTCTGAAAGTTAACTGATGGCTATGAACCTATACTTTCATTATACTGTATACTAGAAAGAGTAAGACAGGTAGAACGAGTTATTTAATCACAGAGAAATGTATCTTTTTTTTTTTTTAGCATGTTTGAGAGAAATGTATTTTTTTTAAATAATTAAAATATAACAGTATTTAACCCTGGCCAGGTAGCCCAGTTGGTTAGAGCATTGTCCCTATAAACCAAGGTTGCTGGTTCGATTCCCAGTCAGGGCACATACAAGAATCAACCAATGAATATGTAAATGAGTAGAACAACAAATCAGTGTTTTGCTGTCTCTCTCTCTCTCTCTCTCTCTCTCTCTCTCTCCCCCCCTCTCTCCCTCCCCCATCCTTGCTCTCTCTAAAGTCAGTTTAAAAAATACAACAATGTTTTATAAAATGTGCCATAGTTTATATTCCAATCTATAATGGCATATAAAATGATCTGTATTAACGTTTTTTAAGCCCAGTGGAAAAACAGGAAAATTTAGTTTAGTAAAAGACTGTATATTTTAATATTTGCTTACATAATTGTCTTGCTGACCATTATTAGTTTGTCTAAATGTGACTGTATTTCTATTTCAGGCTTTGAAGAACTTGAAGAGAGTTTGTTTCAGATTGTCTGTGGGTCCATGCCTCATGGAGGCTTGTTCAGCTGCTGTTGTTTCCCACTATCTTATGCATTTTCCCTGGGAATGGGGATTTCTATTAGGGTAACTTGTTCTCATTTTTTCCCTATGAAAATATTTACTTAAGGATGCTTGATTTAAAATTATTGATATATTAAGAATATTGAATAGACACGCTTCTCATTAAAATTATTTTCACAGTGGTAGAGCACCTTGGAAATCAGTTGGTCAGAAGCAGAGTTGTGTTCTAAATCTACCATATCCTTGACAAACATGTATAGTCCCTAAATATTTAATGCCAAGATAATTCACTTCATCAATTTTGTAATCTATCTAATGCTCTCTTCCTTATACATTATATGTATGCATTACATATGCACATATGTGAGAGATTTTGGATAGAAATAGATATTCTAACCAAAAAAAAAAAAGCAAATATGCTTCCCTATATCCAATGTCTCATCTGTTATTTTCCACCATCCATTTCCCTTCATGTCCACATCCTTCAGATTAATAGTCTACAATCTCTGTCTCTGGATCCTGAACTCCTCTTCAGTTTTTCATCCATTTAACTTTTGCCTCCATGTATCAATTCCAATGAAACTTATAGCAAAGCTCATCCATTATATACTTACTGCCAAATACAATTAATCTTTTCAATTAAATTTTATTATAAAATACCCAAGACAGGCCAGTGTGGCTCAATGATTGAGTGTCAACCCATGCACCAAAAAGTTGCCAGTTCGATTCCTGGTCAGGGCACATGCCCAGGTTGTGGGCCAAATCCCCCGTGGGGGGCATGCAGGAGATGGCCAGTCAATATTCTCTCTCATCAATGTTTCTATCTCTCTCTCCCTCTCCTTTCCTCTCTCTCTAAAATCAATAAAGAAAAAAATTTAGAAAATACCCAAATGTACTTTCCTTTTGAAAAATTAGAACTTTACAAATAAAAGTGGAAAACCTTTTGAGCATGCCTTCAAATCCTACTGTCCACACTACCCAAAGTGACAACTCTTAAGAGTTTTATTTCATTCTAGATCTTTAAAAATAACATTCCAGATTTCTAAATCTTCATAGAGAAAGGAGTATAATTTTGTGTATTTTTATATGTCGTATCTCCTATCTATGACTAACCTGTTCATATCCTTTGTCCATTCTTCTATTGAGTTATTTTTCTTTCTAATTTGTTATATGAAATCTTTGTCTGTTATAGGTATTGCGAATATCTGTCCCCATGCACCACTAGATATTTAACTTTGCTTATGTTGACTTTTTTAATCTAAAAAAAGAAACATTGTTTCCAACAGATAAAATATGCAATACATAATACCATTTACTTGACCTTGAAAATAAAAAAAGAGAGGGTAGGAAGAGTCAATATAGCTGCTTTTGATATGCCACAGGGCTTTTAATGTAATCAAATTTAACAATATTTCTCTTTATATTTAATGCCTTTCTATGATTCATTCAGAAGGTCCTTTTTGCCCCAAAGTCACAAGTATGTTTCTCTATATTTTATTCTTATTAATTTTAAGTTCAATTTTTTTAAATTCTTTAAAACAGCTAGAATGTATTATGTGTGGGGATCTAGCTACATTGTTTTCCACATGAATAGGTAATGTCTCAACACCATTTATAAAAAGTTATTTCTTCCCACATTCATTTCAGATGTCAGTTTTATCATGTAGTAAATTCCATATATTAATTTCTACACTTTGTATTCTGTTTTCTTTCTATCTATATTGTCTGTTTCTATGTCACTATTACACAGTTGTAACCATTTTACCTTCACAAAACAATGTTCTTTTTATACTGACTTGGTTTTTCATTCTAAGCTCTTATTCTCCCAAATGAATTTTAGAATCAGCTATTCAAACTCAATGAAAAATCCTGAGAGGATTTTAATTGGTATAGAACTGAATTAACAAATTAATTGGAGGGAAAGATGACAAATTTATAATACTGAAGGCTTTGCACACAAAAGTGAAACATTTCTTTAATTATTCAGGTGTTATCTTAAGTATTAGAGTGTTTATAATATTCATAAAGGTTTATTTCACAGTTTTGTGTTTTTTTTATTGATGTTATAGATGAAATTTTCATAACATTTTCTAATTAGTTTTTTCAGATGCATGTGAAAACTACTAATTTTTAAAAATCACTTTCATTGAGGTGTAGTTTACATACAATAAAATGAACACCCATTTTCAATCAGTATTTCAGTGAGTTTTAACAAATGTATATGCCCATGTAACAACTTGCCAATTGAGGTGCAACACATTTTCATTACCCCACAAAATTCTCATGTCCCACCCCAATTCTATCCTAGCCCCAGGCAAACCATAATCTATTTTCTGTCACAATAGATTAGATATCTTTTTTTAGTGTTTTAAGCAAATGTAATTATATAGTATTTACTCTGTTGTTTCTGGCTTCTTCTGGTCAGCAAGTTGTTTTTGAGATGCATCCATATTATGGCCAGCAGTTCACTCCATTTTATTGCAGGGTAGTATTTCATTGTATGAATATACCACCAACTTTATTCATCCATTTGGTGGATATTTGGATTGTTTCCAGTCTGGAACTATTATAAATAAAGCTATGAACTTTTGCATTCAAGTCTCTGTGTGGACATTTGTTTTCGTTTTTTAGGGAAATACCTAGGAGTAGAATTGCTAGGTCATATGGTAAGATAATATTTAATTTTATTAAAGAACTGCCAAATAGTTCTCCAAAGTGTTGTTGTATTTTATATTCTCACCAACAATGTATGAAATTTCAGGCCATCTTCATCTCTATTACTTGGTAGTGTCTAATATTAGCAATTTTTTACTGGATATGTAGTGGTATCAAATTATGGTTTTATAGTTTTTTTTAATTAAATTTGGAAATTTTCAGCCACCATTATTATTATTATTATTATTATTATTATTATTATTTTGTACATGCCCCTAGTGGGAACCGAACCCAGGACTCTCTGGTCCACAGGCTGATGCTCCAACCACTGAGCCAAACTGGCCAGGGCATCAGCCATTATTTCTTAATATTTTGTTCTCCTCTCTGTCCTCTTCTCCTAGGACTACAACTGCACATGTGTTAACTGCTTGATAGTATAAGTACCTGATACTCTATTAATTTTTTTCAGTCATGGTACTCTCTGTGCTTCATTTTGGATATATTCTATTGATATGTCTTCAAATTCACTGATCCTTTCTACTGCAGTATTAAACTTTGTTAATCCGGTATAGTGATATTTTCAAGTCAGATATTATACTTTTTTTGTTGTTGATATTAATTCTCATCCAGGGATATTTTTCCACTGATTTTTAGATAGCGTGGAAAGGAGGGAAGGAGAGAGAGAGAGAAACATTGATGTGAGAACACAACAATTGGTTGCCTCCTGCATGACTCCGACTGAGGCTGGGGATCTGAAGCTACAACCCAGGTACCTGCCCTTGACCAGGAATTCAACCCATAATTCTTTGGTCTGAGGACTGACACTCGAACCACTGAGCTCCAAACTGGCTCGGGTTCATCTAGCATTTTAATGCGAGTTTAATAATATCACTTCTCTCCTTTTTTTATATCAATTTTCTTTTTTTCTCTTTCCTTTTAAAATAAAGTATAGAAGTTACCAAGATATATGAATACTCTTAATTTTTTAAGTTTACATTTTATTTAAAACAAAGTTATAAATTTAAACAAAATCTTTTTATATGTGTGTATGTATGTTTACATGATGTAACATACATAAGTATGCAAGTAATACATACTCATTGTAAAAATTCTAAAAAAATACAAGGAGACATAAAAAAGAAAACAATTATGTATGTGTACATGCCCATATCTGAGTGCATAAGAAATATGCCAGAAGTAAAAGGCAGACACTTTTTGCTTCAATAATGTTGGTGAAGACTTCTTTCCTCGATGGCTTTGCAAGGGACTCATAAATGTTATATCCAACATGAAGTTGTAGACTGCAAGCCCCTGTTCTCACTTCTACGCTGCTCTTCAGTTCGAATTCCTGCCACTTGGAATTCTCTGCATTTCTCTGTCATCATTTTATATGAATACTTATTTTAATACCTTAATACTTCCTTCAGGTACTACTCAATTGTTTTTATTTTGAAATCACTATTTTTTTTTTCTATCACCATTTATGCCCTCTATAAAAAGTCTGTATTCTCGCCCTGGCTGGTTTGGCTCAGCGGTTAGAGCATTGGCCTGCGGTCCAGAGAGACCCAGATTCGGTTCCCGCTAAGGGCACATACCTCCGTTGGTGCAGTTTGTCCCCGGCCCTGGTTGGGTCGTACGGGAGGCAGCCACTCAACGTGTCCCTATCATGTTGATGTACCTCTCTCTCTCTCTCTGTTCCTCTCTCTCCCTCCCACTCTATCTGAATAAAAAATGGAAAAATGTCCTCGAGTGAGGATAAAAAAATAAAAGTCTGTATTCTTTCTTTCACATGCTGGATATATCAACAAAACTTGATGTTTTCATTTTCTGAATTTAGCATTTCAGCATCTGTGTAATAATGTGCAAAAAATACACAAACATAAAATGTTAGTGAACATCCTAAAATCTATGAGCAAGGTGAATTGAGTTGAAATTCTTTTATTACTGAGAAGGATTTTGTTTGATTACTTGTTTTATGGAGGAATGGAGGCTAACTCTTTGACCTTAGAAACTGACCTTTGTGAATACCCTTAATTTGTATCTCTCTTGTAGCAGCGTCTAGAATTTTTCCTTTTTTTTGAGTATTTGTCAAAATTATTTTTAATGTGGGCCTTTGTGTAACATACCTTTCGAAGCCTTCTTTGCCTGCAAATATTATCATAATATAATGAAACCCTCAGATTTGAATGACTATTTGGCTGATGTTAAAATATTTAGCCCTGGCTCAGTTGGTTGGAGTGTCATCCCATACACTCAAAGGTGGCGAGTTCCATTCCTCGTAAGGGCACTTACCCAGGTTTCAGGTTCCATCCCTGGTTGGGGAGCATGTGGGAGGCAACTGATTGATGTTTTTCTCTCACATCAATGTCTCTCTCTCCCTCCCTTCCTCTCTCTAAAAATCAATTATA